AGCTCTGTACCGGTCTTGGTGGGATGGGAGCACTCGCTCTCGTGTGCTGGCAGCTCATGGAACGGACCTTGCCAAGGGCAGCCAATCCTCTTGTACTTACACTGTGTCACCCTGACAACATAATGGCAAGAGTGAGTTAAAAGAGAAACTTGAGGAAAGAAAGACATGGCTTTATATACATTAGATCCTTTACAGAGGTGCTTTGTGAGGAAGGTGTTACTTTCTTGCAGCAAGTGGAAGGTACTCATAATATCAAAGGTACCAATTAACTGCGGGTCGTGAGCGGGGGCTAATTAATACAGCACTAATGATAAGCGCTGAGAGGCAACCTCAAAGAAAGAAAGACGTGGATTTGTATCAATTACATCCTGATTTGAGGTTCATTTCACTGAATACCTGTTACTTTCTTGCAGTACAAGTGAGGGATTAATAATGCGAAAGGTGCTAGTTAGCGTCTTTAGTGAGTCACGGATAATTAAAACCACACTGACGTAATCCGCCTTCTATTAAGTGCAAAGTTTTGCCTTACACACGTATTACAGAGTAACAGGTGGGGATTCAGCATTAAACAGGATTCACTGCTTTAACAGAGTGCCGTCAGATATCTGTAATCCGTGGTTGTTATTACTGCACATTAAATACTGAGTAACAACACAAACAGCCTTTAACATCCTAAAACAAACAACGGAGGTATTCCTGAAAAGAACTACATCGTCTTTATGTAAGAGGCAGTCGGATCCTCACAGGAGACCGGCACATTTTTCTGTCTGACCTCACCAAACACACCTGGTGACTGCCATGGCTGTTGTCATGGCAACACTAGCACGGGCATCTCTGTCCTAAGCAGGGTCACCTGTTGCTATAGCAACAACCCCACAGGATTTCATGCATGCAAATTCAATCGGCCCGAGCATCACACACACCACCACACACATCACACACAACACACACACACACGAACACACACCACACACACACACAACAAACACAGGCTGTAATCACATCAGCTGGTTCTCTGCTCAGCAGCAGCAGGTCACATGGTCCTCCATCTTCCCCAAATTAACCCTGTGTGATGCTGTGCCCAGTTACCACACACACACACACACCACCGTATATAAATCATACTGTGTTATATAAGTGCACTGCTTCCATGTTAATGTTTCACTTCACAAGCTGAAAGAGTTTGAACCTGATTAAAGTGTTTCTAGCTGCACAATGTGATAGTTTTAGAACATTTGTGGGGAAACTGATTGGAACTAATTTTAAGATGCTTTTCACACTTTCTGTTAAGTGTTAATTACAAGTATGAAAGATTTCTTAGCTCGGGAAAAAAAAGTGTTTTTGTGTATGTGTGTGTGTGTGTGTGTGTGTGTGTGTGTGTGGTGTATACCTGTCTTGGCACTCCTCTTTCTGGTGTCTCTCTAAGCTGGAGCGGGGGAACTGTTTTAGGCAGAAGGTACATTCTGTCGGCAGCTCACTGACAGCCTTCTCCACGGCAAGGTTCCTGCAGCACAGGTTCTTGCTGATCTCACACCTACACAAACACAAGTCATACCTCAGTGGAGTGCCATATATAACTTTCGTGGTATGCACAGAGTGTTTGTGAACAGCACACGACCATCGGTAGCTGTCTGGGTATTAGAAAAGTTACGTTGTGCTTTTGACAATTGTTGGTGGTAATTTTAACACACACTGTAGGACAAGACATGCAAAAACAAATCAATCAAGTTATTTTTTCCTGTGTCTGTAAATCCATGATAAAAAAGTAATTTTGGAAATGTGAGTATAGTTAAATCATTCTCATCTTCGGTCACTGGCACTTTTTTGATATTCTAACTGCTATTAGTTATTAGGGTTGGGCCAATTACACGGATATAGCAGCTATGTGCGATTGGCTGAGTGGATTGCAGATTGTTTTTTGGGGTGATTTTTGTCATTTTATTTGTCCTTTGATTTTGTCGTTATTTAGCTAATTTAATTGTCTGCTTCTAAAGGACACGAGCCGCTGCTCAGCGACAGATGTTCAGCGGCACAGTACACACACTAAGCCAAAGAACGAGTGAGAGGAACAGCTGTAGAGACAGAATATTTTCACAACTACCTCTGTGAATTAGGGGTTTATTTCAACCAACATGATGACAGGGAATACAGTACGAATGTGATTTACAGCGACAAGACGAAGACACGGTGGGCTCGGGCCGGGACAGGAGAGGGGTCAAGCGGGAGAGGAGCGAGAGGGAGATCAGTTAGCCACCAGAGTTGGAAAGACTAACCAAGATGGTTTTGGTGAGTTTTATTTTGTTTTTGTCGAGTTTGAATGAAGTGTGTTTTACGATGACAGAAGGCAATTATACTAGTATCATTTTATAAAAAGAGAGAAATTCAGGAGGTTTACAGTTGCATTTTTCTCTTTAATCCAGAAAGTAGGTGTTGGAATATTTCCTTTTACTTTTATGAGTTTATTTTGTTTATTATAAGATAAGTGAGCTTGTAGCGAAGCTGAAACTCTCCCAGCTGAAGGTAACCCTTATTAGCTAGCATCACATACTTCCTGACGCAGAATTTGCAGAAAAAAGCATTTAGAGGGTAACATGTTTTGGATCAGTAATTTGATTTGATAAAAATATACACCATCCAATTTATTTGGCTGCAAGAGTCATTATTTGTAAATAATTGGACTGTTTGGACACATTGGCTTTATTCAATAGTGACAGCTGTAGATAGACAGGTAAGGTGGGTAGAGGGAGAGGGGATGACACGCAGCAAAGGGATGCAGGTCGGATTCGAACCCTGGTCGCTGCAGCAACTCCGTACATGGATCACCAGCTCTACTGACTGAGCTAATGAGCTAATTGGGCACCCCAAATATCACATTTAAATGTATCAATATTCATACACAACAATGTTCAGATCCACTTCATGAATACAATCATCAACCTAAGTAACCAGCTAACTATTTCTATGTGCAATATGCTCATGTCTACAGGGAGCTTGGTGTACCTGCAGTTGGGACACGTGGCCTGTTCCTCCTTGAGACGAGAATCAGCCAGGAGGTGGATAAAACAGCCTGCACACATCAGGTGTCCATTGGTACACTGTGGTGGGAAAAGAAAGTTGAGGCAGCAGTCAGACAAAGTGTGTGAGGAAAAGTGGAAAAAACTATTGCTATGGATGCTGAGTGGGATGTGGCACAGGGAAAAGTATTAGTGCAAGCTGGAAAATGACTCCTTAAAAGTTAAACTTTCTCTGGAATCTTATGACAAATGTGTAAGCAATTAGTTATAAGGGGTTGTGGTTTACTTTGAGGCTATTCATTGGGACTACTTTAAAGTAAATATTTTGGGGAAATGTTTGGGGACTATAATCAAATCAAAACAGAATTTTGAGGGATTCGACATGTTTGGCTAGGTGTATTTTCTAAGGGTCTATTTTAATTCCAGTTAAGTTATAACAATGGATTGGCTAAAGCAACCCAACAACAAAGTAGTGTCAAAAAAGACTGTTTGCACTATTGGAAATATTACAGTAAGATTACAACTTAAAGGGTGATTTTATAAGGAGAAACATCTGGAGTTGTGTACTTTTCTGTGTGAATAATGTGAATAAAAATTCTGGGGATGTGTAGATTAACAGATTGAATGTTATTCACTGGTTGTGCTTCTCTTTTTTTTTATATATGTGTATTTTAAGGGCAGCGTATTGTGTATGGAAAGAATGTCAACTTGTGTTTACACAGTATTGTTAATAACTGTTTTTAAAACGTGCGTGCTTGCATATTGCAGAAGGGCGTGTAAATGTTTAAAGACTAACTGAACAATGATTAATTACAAATGTGTTCACTTGACTTTGAAGAGCAGTCTGAGGTTATTAAGGAGACTGTTGTGGTGAGTTGAAGGGACGTGGAAAAGATGATTAAAATTTAAGGTTTTTTGGTTGAGTTCTGGATGTTTGAGTTGTTGTGTGGGGTTTTGGGGTTGTGGCTTTTTTTTTCTTTCTTACTTTCTTT